CCAACATGACATAAGTCATAGATATATATTGTTTCTCTTACCTCTTATGTGTCTCACCTCCCATTTTAACCTCCATCGTTCACCACTACCAATACCTCTTCACTAGGTACTGTTACTCTCATGGTTTTCGAACCATTATTGACCCGGACAGCCGGACCTTTTAGCCCAGGAATTGTCTAAACAAATGGTTTCATTTTACCCCAAAACTAGTCCCTGTCCAAAAACCAAGCGGTCGAACCGTTGACCCATTCAACAATTTTTTGTCATTTTTTATTTTAATTATTATTTTTTAACTTTTTTTGTTAGAACAGGTCGTCTATTCGAACCAGACGGTCTAACCATTGACCCAAAAATTGATGGCCACAACGGTTTCGGTTTCAGATCATTTCATGAATGTTAGAAACATAAACTAGATTGTCTATGTGGGAAAACATAGTTAAACCCGAACATGATCTTTAAGGAAAGGGAAGCTCATCCTTCTGTGACTGGTACAAAGATGGAAATCAATGGTTAGTAGGTTACCTTACTAAATTAACAAAAAACTTCATGTTCGCATGAAGTTCTAATGAGTTAATGTTCTCATATTGAAGTGAACCATAAGTTCAATGGAAACAATGAAAACTAGTGTGTAAATATTAGTGGTAAATTCCTGTAGTGAATTGGAGTATCACTTTGTATACCTTCTATAAATTGTTATAAACATACATTGTTAGCTTAGAGATGGCAATTTGACCTGTCCCTATGGGGCCCCGGTCAGGGCTGGTTTTTTGACCACTGGTCGATGTTTGAGGAAAACCCGAAATTCTAGGGGTCGGGGACGATATTTGTCCTCTTTGCCCTGACCCCGACCCCTCCCCTGCCCCGACTATGTTATATAACATAATACATATAATATTGTTAATATATGCTAATGTATATTATATTATTGGATATATATATATATATAAGTAAGAATGACTGGGGTGGGGCGGGGCAAAGTTGGGGATCCCCGTTTCTCGCGGGGACGGGGATGGGGTTAAGATTTTTTGCCTTGCTAGGGTTTGGGGCGGGGATGGGGTGGAGAATTTCAATTCAGGGTTGGGTACGAGGTAGGCAAAACCCGGCCTTGCCTTGCCCCGTTGCCATTCCTAAGTTGGCTTTATATTGATCAGATGACGTCTAAGGGTAAAAATGTAACCATAAACATATTCATTGATGGAAGGGAGGTATTTCTCGACTTTTTGAAAAATATAGGGGAGTTTTTTGCTAATGTGAAACTATAGGGGAGGGTTTTATGATTATTAGAAACTGTAGGGAAGTTTTTGTATTTTAACCTTTTTTTTTTGTTGGCAACAATCACCAGTAACCAGCGGTCCCCATAGGGTATTAGAATGATGCATGAATATTTTACCTTTCTTGCATATAATTTCATAAGTGGGAAAATAAGGTACAAGGGTCTCTGAATTCTTACCTCTTTGAAGGATGTCTAATGGGTAGTGGTGTTCAAATTGAGGAAAGAAAAGGAGACTACTCATCCATTTTCACGCAATTGGGTGGCTCGAGGAAAATAACAATGCAAGTAGAAGAAAAAAGAAGATGATGTGGGTATTGGTGTGTCCGGAAGCGTGTCGTTAAGTATTTTGGAACACTAGTTTTGTATTTATAAAATTTTTCTGATTCTCAAGCAACTACTAATGCAGTGAAATGATGACAACAGGTCGTATCCACAAGGAAGTGAGGGAAAAATTAATACATATTCAATTTTTGACAAGAGAACACAAGAGGAAAGTGCAAAAATATAAAAATTAATTAATTAAATTGAGGAAAATATAGAATTCAAATAGTACCGAAAGTTAAATGTGCAGAAACATAAATAAATATAGAAATAAATAAACGAAAGAAACAAAATAAAAATATGTAATCCGATCAGAGGTAGCAGTCTCCAGATATCTCTTTTGACCCTTGAACCTATCGAGCTAGGCCTTCTGTCCTACCTGGCCAAATTGTAAATTTGCAAAAAAGAAAACGATGACCAAATAGAATGAAAATAGATTGCATAAATTAAATAACGAAATTAGAATTGAAATAACAAAAATTAAAGCTAAAACAAAGTAAAAGTGGTTGGGATCCGATTCGAGAGGTGGTAGTAGTGGTATTGGCGAACTGCAAGTAGGAACCCCTCCTCTTGCCTAGGCGTCATCCTCTTCCTCTACCCTTAAACTTCTTAAGATCAACCTTCCGTCTTACCTGGGGGCAGAATCCAACCCCTTCTCAGGAGCCCATGGGTCATTTTTATAGAGAAGGGTGGACACAATTGGGATTAGAGAGAAAGAAGGAGGCGACAATTAGGTTTTAGCAAAGTTATGGGCGCCCTAGGGTTTCTAATGAAGGGTTAGGATGGTTATAGGATGATCCTATGGATGAGAGGAAAATAAGAGGGCACCCAATATTATGTAGGGCTGAAATTTGGGCACCCAGAAAATTGAGGGTGGAGATTAAGGCGCCTAGGGTTGAAAGGTGGAGATTAAAAGGAGTGGGTGGCGCCCTAGAGTGGATGGCTGAGATAGAAAATGGAATGGAGAGCTAAGATCTAATGACTAGGGGTTGAATGGTGAGGATTATAAGTTAGGTGGCGCCCTAGGGTTAAAAAAAACTAAAAAAGAGAGTGCCCTAAAATGAATGGTGGTGATTATAAGAGATGAAAGGTGGAGATTAAGCAGCTAGGGGTGGATAGGGTTTGCTTAGGATGAAAAGAATGAGCTAGAAGACGCCCTATGGTTTGCTAAGGAGAGGGGAGCATGCTAATACAGTAAGCGGGGCGCCATTATGGGTTTAGCAGATATGAGGCACCCTCCTGTTCTTAGGGTTTTACAAAAACACCCCCTCTCTCAGCTGGACTTCACGCGAGCTTCCCAAAACCTACAATTCAGTCATGAAACCTTCCAAATTTTGCACAGAATTTGTACAGAGACCCTCAGAGGTCACAACATTGAGTTTAACTAGGAAAATGACATATTTTGACTATTCTAAGACTGAAAATACCCTTGAAAATGATGCCCTTAAGGCATCAAAATGTAGAGTTATTAGGTACAGGTGCAAGTTTGGTGCAAAACTTGGGGATCCGAATACCAAACCCTATTTCATAATACCTGACGAAATGAATGCGAATTCACACAAAAAGGAACTTTGTGATGCTCTATAGGAACAAAAGACGCTAGGGTTAGTAAGTTAGAAGGACGAGATAGAAATCAATATCACAAGTAAGAAGGATAGGATCGAGCAAGATGATATCGAAGCGAAAGTGTTGATGCTCTTTAATGTCATTGTCGAACCTTCAACAAGTCAATATAGTGCCGCAATGTTGGACTCACCTTAGATTGCAAAGGTACAACGATTATCTCATTGTTTTGACAAATCAATATAGCTTTGATTGGTCACCATCTTGTTTTGCCGTTGATCCTAAGACTCAATTTGGAAGGAGTACAGATGCAAATATGTAGAGTACAAAACCTTATTTTTTGTATTATTTTGTATGCATTTGCATTGTACATATTTGCATTTGTACTATAGTTGCCCATATGATGTTCTAAGGGGGAGCAAACCATAAATTCCCAACAAAAAAATAAATTATTGATTTGAATTGGATTTAATTTGAATGTTCGATTATCTCATCCAAACGAAATCAAATATGTCAACAAGGAATGTCAAATATAGCTGCAGATTGGGTAGCTAACAAAGCTCATAGAGTTTATGTTTTGATTGGACTGATTCCTATACCTTTAACGTTATTTTTTTGCGTAGATTTTTGGAGACGTGCCACCCCTAGAGTTGTGTGGCCATTCTGTTATTATCTCGTTTTATCAAAAAAAAAAAAAAAAAAAACGAAATCAAATATGTTGATATAGTTCCACGTGAAATCAAATAAAAAAATTTGAATATCCTAATTCCTCATCGAATCAAATTGATGAGAAAGACTTCCCATTCAAACAATCCAAACACACCCTAGATTTTTTTTTTTTAAGGTAGTGCAAAAGATATTACAAATAAACTAGTACAAGTGTACAACCAAAGAGGTGCAATCGACTACTAAATTATATCATCAATAAAAGATTATGATTTTACCGTCTACTCCACCTCGAAATTGATAATTCGATCATATAGTTCGGATCAATGTTAATGGGTGAGGGGAAATATTCCAAATTCAAGAGGGATGCTGTTTATATGAGAACTAGGAATAAATACATTGGGAAAATAATTTTCCACTTCTGAGATGGAGTGGACCCTAAAAAAGGCCTAAAGGCTAAAGTATTTTACTTTTTTAGACAAAACCGTGGACAGCCATCTTAGCTTATCTAATTTTTACTCTTTCGATATATGTCTTTCTAGTATCATAGTTAAACCTCCCAATACACCCAGAAGATTTTTTTTTTTCAATACTCAGAAGATTCAAGATAGTGTGTAATAGCCAATATAACAAGTCGCATTACGGGTGCAAATGGATCTGAGATCCGATTATATTTGATTGAATTGGGATCACCCCTATCAGATCTTTGGATCAAACATAAATAGTCGGATCAGTCAGTGCAAAGTTCATTCGAACAACCTATATTGAGAATATCTAGTACTTGTGTAATGGAAAGATATTTCCGATATAAAAGATTATTCCAACGGTACTGAAGCCGAACTCTCCGCACGCCCAACAGTCCATCCCATCCGTGTATTGGGGACATTTCTTTGACTAAAATATACGAGATATTCTCAATGTGCCTGTGGGGCGTCAATCTGATATCCTAATAAAAATAAAAAAAATTCCCATGCATCCTTCAATCGCGACCTTGGAGTCCGAAGGAGGGCAAAAGAGATACTGATCTAACGGTCTATATCAATCGCCACCAAGTTTTTTCGCTGCGCTCTGTGATGCCCATCTCAAGGTGGCAAAAGTGATACTGATCAAACGGTCGATATCAATGCAGGTCGATTCGATGTATTCCGGTTTATACATCATGACTTCATGAGCCGAATTTTAGGTCGGTCTGAAAGTTAACCAAAAAGCCCTCTCTAAACCCAGACGCAGCTCCACTCCCGCTCTTGTCCTCTTTGACATCTTCGCTCTCCCAGCTCCCAATCTCCCGTCTCCACTATCCAGGTGCGCTCCGCTTCTCTTCCTTTCCTTTTTCTGCAATTTCCATTTTTTTTTTCATCTCCAGCTCCAAACACAAATGAACAGAGAATTCTGAAACAACTAAATCAGAACCCTAACTTCGCATTTCTTAATATTCATCCTTTGCAGTTTCAGATTCGCCATGGACGATAGCTTGTATGACGAGTTTGGCAACTACATAGGACCCGACATCGTGTCCGACCAAGAGAGCGAAGGGGAGGATGAAGACGAAGACCTCCCGGACAAACCCGGGGAAGAAAGGGACGCCTCCGATGAGGATGACGCCACCGCAGCTGGTATCTCCGGGTGGATAACTGCGTCTAATGATGTCGACATGGATAACCAAATTGTACTTGCCGAGGACAAGAAGTATTACCCTACTGCCGAGGAGGTGTACGGTGAGGATGTCGAGACTCTGGTTATGGATGAAGATGAACAGCCATTGGAACAGTCTATAATTAAGCCTGTTAGGAATATTAAGTTTGAGTTGGGTGTGAAGGATTCGTCGACTTATGTGTCGACGCAGTTCCTTTTGGGTCTCATGTCGAATCCGGCGCTGGTTAGGAATGTTGCACTCGTGGGGCATTTGCAGCATGGGAAGACTCTTTTCATGGACATGTTGATTGAGCAGACTCATCACATTTCTACTTTTGATCCGAACAGTGAGAAGCACATGAGGTACACGGACACAAGAATTGATGAGCAAGAGAGGAAGATTTCCATCAAGGCGGTGCCTATGTCGCTTGTTCTTGAAGATAGTAATTCTAAATCCTATCTATGTAATATTATGGATACCCCTGGCCATGTCAATTTCTCTGATGAGATGACTGCCGCACTCAGACTTGCTGATGGTGCTGTGTTGATTGTTGATGCTGCTGAGGGAGTAATGGTAAGTTCCTTATCATTTTCTACTTTTAGACCGTTTTCAATCTTCAAGGTGCGTGAAAATGCCTTTTTTTTCGACTTATAACTTTTTTTCTTTTTCTGGTTGCTTCGTATTATCTTTACTGGGCCCCAAACCCTGGTTTTGTTTGCTCTCTAGCTTTGAATTTGATGATTTGTTCACTGGAGAGCAATATTATTTACGTCTAAATTATGTTTGGCAAGTAAAAACAAGAACAAATGCATCAAACGCAATGAGGTAAAAAAAACAAGAATCTCCCTTTCCAATGCTTGGGCAAGGCGTCTGTCATGGAATTTATACTAAAAACTGAAGTGTTTGACATGGGCACGGAACCCATTTTGAAGGGTCTGCAACAACACACACAACCATCTTACAATTAGAAGTAGCAACCCTGTTTTGACCGACTCTAAGTTATCAACTATAGCACTGGTAGACCTAAGTATCCACTAGAATGGGATATTAAGAAACTTCCCAAAATAGGCTCATTACAAGCTTGATATGAATTTCTAGTAAGAAATCATCTTCTAAAATAGTACCTACCATTACCCAAAACTAATAAAGCTACAATTCAAAATTCAAATAACCAAAAAAATAGAATAATCTTGTTACATACTCATTGGTTTGGTTTTCTGTAAATTGGTAATAACTTTCTAAGTTCATGTCTGAATTGGGCGATCTTGGGTCTGTTGGATAGGTTGTCAAATAACTTGTTCAACGACACCATTGTCAAGCCAATAGAGCATCTTTATATTGAACAAGAAAGGAGGTCAAGATTTGACACCCTAACTTTTGTCCACGTGATAAAACAAGACTGTTTTGTCAACTTTCAGCTTTAAGCTCAAGTAGTTGACCTATGCAATGTTTCAAAAGCGAGAGCAGAGAGGTGTAATAAAACACAAGGGGCTTCTAGTGCCTAAGGTGCAAGGTGCAAGGAGAGGTATTACAAACACTTTTTTAAACGTCAATACATATAAAATATATTTTTTTTGAAGAAGGCAAAGCAAATTTTATTAGAACAGAACCAGATTACAGAATACAAGAGGCCCTAAAACCATAAAACCGGGGACCAAGAAGCCAGAAAATAATACAGTTAGAAACTGCCTGCAATCAGCTGGGCTCCCAAAACCCTTGGTTGAACCGTTGAAACCCCTAAAGCAACAGCATTCCAAGAGATTAGTTTTCCAACAGTACAGGACAACAGTTGATCCACAGTGTTGTGTTTATCCTGGAAAATTCTTTTGTTTCTTCCAGCCCAAATGGTGCTAATTACAGTCGCAGGAATTGAGAACAGTTGCAGGCATGGTTCAAGATAGCTGCCTAGAGGAGAAGTGGTTCCAGATTTTACTGGAGATGGGACAATGCAGAAATAGGTGGTTGCTGTCTTCCTCCCCTTGGTTACTGGCAGACAAGAATAATCCTGCAGCTGCATACCTCTCCTCTCCAGATTCTTCTCGATAAGGCACTTATCCCGAGCCACAGCCCAGATCAAAGCATTAAGCTTTGAAGGGACAGTCTGGTTCCAGACTTTATCAGCAGGGAAATCAGCACCTTGATCAGTTGAAAGGATCCTGGCAAATGAAGTAACAAAAAACAGGTCATCTTTGCTCCAAGATCAAATCCAAGAATCTTCTTGTGATAAATCCAGAGACTGAGTAGATAACATCTCTGACAGCCCTGAGACTTGATCTAGTTCCCAGTCTTGGAAATGCCTTCTGAGAGAGGGGCCCCAAAGACAAGTGTTGTCTCTAATCTCTTAGCAGTCAGCAACCATGGCTTATTGGTTTTCTGCCATTTGGAACAGCTGAGGGAACACCCCGACAAGGGGTCTATTAGTGCACCACACATCCTTCTAGAACCTAATCCTCCGGTCATTCCCCAACTTTACCAAAAGACCATTAGTCAATAAAGGGAAGACTTCCATGATTTTCTTCCAACTCGAGCACCCAAGAGAGATCAAGGAATTGGTAGTAATCCAGTCCCCATTGTCTGGATTGTACTTGGCTGCAATTAATCTCCTCCACCAGCTTCCTCTTTCTCTGCCAAATCTCCAAATCCATTTCCCCAAAAGAGCCTTATTGAAGACCTTTATTTTTCTAATCCCTAGTCCACCTTTGTCTTTTGGAGCACAAACTCGATCCTAGCTAACCAAGTGAATTTTCTTGTCTTCTTCCCACCATTTCCATAAAAAATCCCTCTGCAATCTTTCCACTCCTTGGGCTACTTTTCTTGGCATTGGGAAAAGAGACAGAAGATAGGAAGGAAGATTTGATAATGCACTCTTGAGTAGAGTAATTCTTCCCCCCAAAGTAAGATATTTGGCCTTCCAACATGCCGGTTTCCTTTCTAACCTATCCACCACCGGCTCCCAAATCAGAGATGAGGTACATTAAAGTGTTTTAAAAGCGCAAGGCGCAAAAAAGGCACAGGGGCCAATTTGTGCCCGAGGCGTAAGGCGCAAGGCGAGGCGTGAAAAAGCCGCATAGAATTTTCAGGAAATGTAAAAAAAAAAAATGAAAAAATACATAAAAATTAAAAAAAATCAGAAAAAATACAAAAACAATACAATCTAAATTTCCACGAGTTGAGAGTTAAGATATGAGTATGACAATGCAATCTAAAGTTCTAATTTCTATTCTAAAGTCTAAAGTCTAAGCTCTAAAGTATAAACTATAAAGTTCTAAATACTGATAAAAAAACTATAAAGTTCTAAACAATTAAATACTTACAATAACATACTAAGTTAGTTACTAATAACTAAGAGTTAGTCTAAGTGTCTAACATAGTATCAATTATCAAATTCAAACAATCAAACTATCAATGGTTCAAATAATGAAATAAAAATAATCATATTATTCAAATATTAAAAGATGTTAAAGCAATGTCACTGTCACCAATGTGCTTTTATAATACAAATAATTTAAATATCATGATTCATGGATAAGATAAGATACAAAAATACAAATATAAAAGAAGTTAAAAAGACACTTACCTCTCTAAGTGTCCAAGTCCAAGTCCCCACTCTCCATGGTGTTAAAGTTAAACAATTAAGCCTCAAATCTCAGTAGTCAATAGTCAATACTCAATACCACTTATGACTTAGCTACTTATCACAGTCACTAAATCTGAAATCACTACATCTAATCTAATATCTAGTAAGTAAAATCAGTAAATTCACACATGAGACAAATTCACATTCACGTCTCTTGATGGTTGATCAAGATTCAAGATCAATAGTCAATATTAACAAAAAACAAGTATGGAATATGGATAAAAAAACACGTCAGACTCAACCTTAAACAAAACAAACAAAAAAAGAGTAGATCTTCATTCTTCAAGCCTTTAAAAAAAAACACAAGTCACCTATTCACTCTTCATTTCCATAATCTTCTTCCTCATCATCTTCTTCATTTGGAAGTTCAACTTCATCATCCTCTTCATTAGAATTATAGTCTCCCAACTCCTCTTCCGATTCTTCTTCCTCAAATTCTTCATCTTCCAAACGAAGTTGAGAACTTGAACCCCCTATAGACCTTCTTGCATTGGCTGATGTTGTTGCTCTTGCATGAGAGGTTGAAGCTACACTTGAACCTCTATTTCTTGTGGTCCTTATTGGCTCTTCGACTCTCGAAGCAAGAGCCACATCTCCCCATGTTAAAGAATCATCGTCAAATACCAAATCATTTTCAGCTCCACCATCTTCACGTGCCATCTCCCCTAATAACCATTCGTTACTTTCATCTATATCTTTCAAAGATATAGGGTCAGTGACACTACGTGAATCAAAGTTCTCTTTAAGCAATTGATTGAACTTAATGAAGACTAAGTCATTCAAGCGCTTTTGATCCAACTGATTCCTTTTTTTGGTATGGATCTGCATAAATTCATAAAACATAAGATTGATTAATAAAGATAAGTTTAAAAACTAAAAGTATCAACATAAGTGAAGTTTTAATTACATGCTCAAATACACTCCAATTTCTCTCACATCCAGATGCACTGCATGTCAAACTAAGAACTTTGATTGTAATCTTTTGTAGCCAAAACACCATATGAAACCCACCAATCAGCTGTAAAAAATTAAATAATAACAAAATATTAATTAAATTTTTATTTAAATACATAAAAAATACTAAATAATTAAATAAACAAACTATTAAGTCAATGTTACTTACCCGGTGCTTTCACCTTTCTTTGCCAAATAGCCATATCAAGACCAAAAACACCCTCTGCATTTTTATATTTGTTTATCTCATCAATGATTGCATTGATCTTGTTTCTGTCCTTTTCAAACAATTCAATTACTTTATAAAGCCCGGTGATGATTTCTTCATCTGAATCAATCCCTTCAGCATCATCATAGTAAAACTTTGGATTTAAATAAAAGCCTGCTGCATGCAATGGTTAGTGGAGTTGACCCTCTCACCTCTTTTCAATGATTTCAAAAATGTGTTTTATATTTTTCCTCATGTCCACCAAATGCACTTGTAATGGCTTCCTTTGCCCTATCCATGGCTTCATAAATGTAACCCATTGAAGGCTTGTTCCCACGGTCCACCAATCTCAAGACCCGCACAAGTGGACTACACACCTTAAGTGTGAAGACGACGTTGTTCCAAAAAGTGGGCATCATCACCGTCTCCGCTACCCTTTTCCCCTTTATTTCCTTCACCCACTTGCTTTCATTCCAATCCTTTGAATTAAAAAGATCTCTCAAGTTCTTCTGTTGTTTATAAATGCTCTGCAGAGTGAGAAAGGAAGTGGCAAAGTGGGTCTTTGCTGGCCGGATTCACTCTCTCTGGTTTGTGTACTTCCTCATTAAATTTAACAACCCCGGATGATTATAAATATATCCTGCAAGTGCAATAGCCCTTTCAATTGTTTTACTTATAACTGGCAACTTTCAATATCTTCCAAAATCAAATCCAGACAGTGAGTACACACGGGGTCCAAGTTAAATGAGGGTGTTTTGCCATCAAATATTTCCC